AAATATTCGAAGATTCGAATCCGTATTCGATTCGTTAACGAACTCATTTTTTGATTCGTATTCGATTCGTTTATAATATTCGAACATATTCGATTCGATTCGAGGTTCGTTTGCCGAAAAATATATTTATTTTTAAAAATGTTGATAATGCTTTTCCTATCCAATTTGAGTGTAACAAATATATTGAACCCATGAATAAAATATAAATAAGCATTCATAATTACTTGATGAGTCCATTAATAAAATAACCAACTTCAAAACCAAAAACATAATTCAATCCTAAAATTATTAAAAACAAAATACATTAACATAATAGGCTTCATAGTTTTTACCTTCAATTCAAACACATTTCTTAAACACAATTAAAAAAAAAAAATAATTGTTCCAATTTTACAACAACAAAACATTCATCATCAACTTTACTCGAATATCATCAACGTGCCATTCATCAAGCTTTCAATTGGACATTAACTTGCTCTTTCTCCTCCTACAAAAATATAATATACAATTATTATGGATATTTTCAAATTCACTAAAATGAATAAAAACATTCATAAAATTTACTCCACCATCATCAGCTTAACCATTTATCATGTTTTCAAATGGACATCAACTTGCTCTTTTTCCTCCTACAAAAATAGAAATAACGATTATTACGGATCATTTTCATAATTCATTAAAAAAAATTATCTACTACAATGTAAATTTATAGAAAGAGAACTTACATATGTCATATTTGGTTTATTAAGCCCGTGAAGTTGGCGAACCTAATCTGCTCCACAAATAAGAACTTAAACCATATTGGACGATAAGTTAGAACGATAAGGATCTAACACTCGGGTGCCTGCCTAAAAGTAGCCTCTGATGCTACTGTGCTAATAGGAATAGCCAAAACATCTCGAGCCAACTTGGATAAAATATTGTACTTCAGCTCTTCAGATTTCCTCCAATCCAAAGCATCAAATGTACTGGCCCCATCCCCATCTTGACATCTATACACCCCTTCCTCCAAGTACTTGTCCAAGTCCGACTTCATTGGTGCATGCTCTTCCACGGTATCCAAATAATCGTCGTACATGGACAAATCGGAGGGAACCGATTTTTCATTCGGTATTGAGTTCGAAGTAGCATGAGATGAATCCCTAGTCGACATAACACCTTTTCGAGTCCGCAAATGATCACGTTCGTACTCAAAGAACAAATCATATAATGCATCCCGAACCTTGACAATGTTTCCACGAGCCTCAATCTCATTATATATCTTGCTAAAAGCAAATTCAACTAGCCTCATTTTGAACCTCGGATCAAGTATTGCTCCAATAGCCATCAAAAGATTACAATGACCCCAATATTTATCAAATTTTCCTTTCATCATTTTCACCATTATTTTGATGAAATCATTCGGATGATTTTCTTTCTCGTCCAAAATATGCTTAACCCTCCAAATTACCGCAAAAAAAACATTAGAAGTAGGATAATTAGTTTCGGATATCACATGAGTTGCCTCATAAAACACTCCTAAAATTTCCACAATGTCTCCCACTTTCTTCCAATCATATGAACAAGGGCAACAATCATACATTGGCTCTCTTTGTGCAAAAATAGGGAATGCGTCCTTAACTTTAATAGCTTCAACTAACATTTCATATGTAGAGTTCCAATGAGTAGGGCAATCTATGATTAGCCTTTTCACTGGAATTCTCAAATGATGCACAATTTCAGAAAACTTCAACAACCTCGATTCCGATTGATTAATAAACCGCACACTGTTTTTGATGGCTTTAATAATATCTCTAATAATGTTCAGAACATCTTGAACGATAAGATTCAAGATATGTGCAACACATTGCACATGGAATAACTTACCATCCAACGGCAAATTTCGACTCTTAAAAATGTTTCTTTGGCTATACGGAGTGCGACATCATTGTTAGAAGCATTGTCCACCGATATAGTGAAAACTTTGTGCTCTATTCCCCATTCTTTTGTGCATTTCATAAGCCCATCAAAGATATCAACACCTAAAAAATCATATAATCGAAATAAATATTTTCACAAAAAAAAAATAAAATGAATCAAATTTAAAGATAAAGGATAAATAAGATTTTACCAGCGTGTGGAGGAGGAAGAGGTATGAAGCTAAGGACTCTCTTTTGAAGTCGCCACTGTGAATCAACAAAGTGTCCTGTGACACACATGTATGAAATTTTTTGCATTTTTGATTTCCAAATATCTATGGTCAATGAGATCTTGTTGACGTTTTTGAGCATCAACTGTAACTTCTTCTTCTCTATCTCATAAACACTAATGACATCACTTCTAGTCGTGGCACGAGAAATCTTCTCAAATTGTGGAAGATTGACTTTGAACATTAACGAGAATCCATAGCTTTCCACAACGTTAAATGGTTGCTCATGCATTAGAATCCAATGAGCAATAGTTTCTCTTTGCTTCGAATGATCATACTTACCATCTGATAAGGGATTCATCTCAAAGTTTGAATTTGCAGGCTGAAATTGCAAGGTCTTTTGTTTTTCAATGTGAAGTTTCTTTTGAAAACACCTCTCTCGATGTTTCAAAAGATGACTTGTTGTACCGGTTGTTGTCACAGCAAAAAGACGATTGCAATGATTACACTTCCACTTTAGAATTCCAACATCATTAGTAAATGAAGAGAAGTCCAAATTAGCTACGGAATTTTTCTTTCTCTTCTTCTTTCCAAATACTTCTTTGCCCTCATTTTCATCATTTTTTGATCACCAGTACCACCTTCATCTCCATCTTCTAGTTCTTGATCTTAAACTAGACGAATATCGTCACCTTCACCTCCTAAATCATCTCTTCCATCTTCATTTATGTTGGGAATCAAATCCTGTAAAATACATTCAAAATTATGCTTAATATTTCGAAGTTGTTAAGAGGTTCAAGAATATGATTTTATTTGGCAGATGTTAAGACATAAGAGGTTCAAGAATATAATGTATAAGTAACCTCATCTTCT